TTTTCTAAAAGTGTTATTGCATTAAAGAATTCGCATATGTCATGTTTACGGTCGTAGTGTAATGGCGATTAGTGGTGCTATTGTGCTTGGAATTGAGGATTCAGCTCAGGGATGAAACACAGGACAGGCTATCAAGTCACTGCACATAGCGGCTTGCTTATTTGGGAGATCTAAATGGCACTACTTCCAGTGTTTTCATTAATTATCAAAATTCGATTGTGCTCCTCTCCACGGTGGTGGGCCAGCAACGCCAAACAAACTGCACAGTCAACACATAGAAGATTTCAGGCCCCCGTCCCCTTCCAATCTTCTAGCCAGAGATACCCCATGTTTGTATTTTTAAATTTCTGAAACACTTCAAAAAATTTTTGAAACACATTTGATATAGGTCGCTTGCAAGCATTCAGAAGCAGCATTATTAGATTCGGAAGCAAATTCAGATGTAATAGGGGTCGATTGAAGTAGAGATCGATTGATTCGTAATATGTTATTCCAAAAAAGTTTGGCCTTCACAAACTTGTAAAGCTTTTTTTCAGGCACTACTCGATCTCAAGGATCAATTTGATCATTTTTTATTGGATGCTTTTGAGAACGACAAAACTTTCAAGCAAAAAATACAAAGTGATTTTGAATATTTTCTGAATTTGAATCCAAGAAGTCCCGAGTACCTCTCACTGTACATGGATGATAAACTGAAGAAAGGAATGAAACTGGTTAGTTTTGCTTTCATGCTTTCTGCTGCTAAGCTTAAATTTTTCGTTCATAAACAGACCACACTTTGCATTGTGTGATAGGGTAACTGTACCCATAGTTTTATCCGAGTCACAAAAATTTTCTTGAATTTGGGTCTGAGGTCATAAATTGAACTTGAAGCTGTAGGTATTTCATCCGCCCTAATCTGCTTTCATGGAATTGTGAACATTTGACGAGGGAGGCAAATGCTGTACTTGGAAATGTTTAGTTTTGAGGCCAGAACCCAGTCTGCTACAGAAAAAGAATTTGGAGTAGAATTTAGGGTTAAATTTCTCTTCTTATATTTTAAAAAATTTCCTTTTTTATTTACCGTTTTTTCGTTTTTTTTTTTGAGGGGGGGGGGGGGGGGGGGGGGGGGGGGGGGGG